TGACATAATATCGTGCTAGATTAGTATAGTTAAAAGATGTCATGTATTTAAATTTGGTAATTAGTTTTTCATGCGTTATCTTTTAGTTGAGCCAATGTCGCATGTTTCTAAGAGTAATCTTGTATAAGGGCATCATAAATGGAGAAATGCAAATTCGAGACGTAAAAATCACATTTACATTTTCAGAATATGTAAACGAGAGTTCTTCACTAATACTAGAGATTTAAATTGGGGTTCCATTTACTTTTCTCTTTTAAGACATGTTTACTTACATGATATGAGATATGAATGAATGATGGATTAAAAGGAAGGGGAATGTAAAGGTAGAGATTAAATGGAATGAGCATGTAAAGGATTAGGCATGAGATACACAACCCCTTATGCTAATGAGATACCTTCATATTTTAGGTATCTCATACCCAAAATTTATGGGACCCATTCATTCCTATTTCATAGTTAAAATGCCCGTAAATGGAGAGGCTCACCTCCTAAAGAAGTAAAAAGGAAAATGAAAATTCACATTTTTCTGTGAACAAGAAATGTAATCCATAAGGACACCTGTGGATGGTTGTGATTTTAGTACTTGGAAGAGATATTTTGCATACCTGGTCCTGTTTTACACTAAGGAAACTGAGATGAAGGATGCCTTGGCTGATACATGCCAAATGCCATACAAGATTCTCGAATGCGAAATAATATACAGAGAGAGAGAGAGAGTGGATGATCACATCAGTCCTAATCCAGATTCACAGGATTCACAACCTACCAACAAGATATTTAATATTTTATGTGAACATCAAATTCCTCATTTTATATAATTCTAACGTTATTGCTTTTGTACGCTTTTTCCACTTTGTCCCAACACTTTCTCAATCATTTTCCATTGTTTCGTTTTCTTGAGATAAATTGTGGCCTCCTCGAATTGACTGAAAGCGAAATTCTAGCCTACATTGTGCCTCTGCATCCATCACGTCCGCAAGTGCGAGTAAAATATCGGGCATCTGGCATCCATTATTCTATCAAGGTTAGTTTCCTGGTTTACCCCTTAGGTGGTCTCGTTATCTACCCAATGACTAATGTTGATCAAATAGCATAACCGAACTGGTAAAATAGATTGAAGATTTAAGTCGAAAGATGAAAAATTCGACATCAAGAAAAACTTTTATAAATTTAAACTCTAGTGTTCGATTTGAGCTCATGACCCTCCGTATGGAAAAAAAAAAAAAAAAAAAAAAAAGAAGGCATCACGCTGCATGAGGTGTAGGTGCAGTGGTTGAATATTTTCTCCATAAAAAGAATTTTAGGGTGGTTAAATTTATTTATTTATTTATTTTCAATCGATAAAAGATATTATTGTATTTAAATAGAAATGTTCACAACTTTGGCCAAAACATTAAATAACCATTCTGGAAATGGCGTACCCCATACATCCTATATTGCTTTTTCTCTTTTCTTTTTTTTTTTAAATTTTTTTTAAAATTTTTTTATAGGGAAATTTGTTTATATTATCATATTTTGGAGCAATTGTCATCTTAACTTTACAAAATAATTAATTTGTCATTTCACACTCTCCGTTCAATTTTTTATAAAAAAAAAAAAAAAAAAAAGCCATGCAAGCACATGATTTATGTTTAAGGTTATTTTGGGTATTTCAATACCTCACTCCTTTTCTAATAAGTTTCATTTGACAAATAATAATAATAATAATAAATAAAATTCTGGGGTTTCTTTCAAATACAAAATGGGGGGATAATTTCGGATGATTTGAGGGTTCTCCATTTGAAAAAGGGGAACGGCCTGCACTCTCCTTTTTGTGTTTTGAATTAAAGATAATTGACCACATTAAATTCTCAAAGTTCATCAAAAAGTTTTCAAACAAACACGACATGTTTTCTAACTAGCCAAATTTTGGGGTTTGTAGTAAAGAAAAGTAAAGAACTTGTGAAAAGAATGTCAAAAGTCCTAAATAACCGTGAACACAAGTCATTGCCTCACATATGACTTATTTTAGATTGAAAACTTAATAAAGTTAGGCTAAAATGACAAATTAATAATTTTGAAAAGTTAATACGACAAATCGCTTAAAATTTTAGTTTATATGACATTAAAAAATATGTATAAGTTTAAGTTCATATAACATTTCAAAAAAAAAAAAATCCTAATAAATTTTATTAAAATAAAAAATGCTTAGACCCCTTCTAGTATGCCGCTTGACTAACACGTAACGATCGTCATACATGTGAATTAAATATCTAAACACTAGCAATAGTGACTTTCTCATAGTCACCAATATTGAACTGGTTACTTATTGACCAAAAAAGAACTGGTTACTAGGTGGATCCAGTCAACGCTCATTCCCTCATTTGCTTACAAGGAAAATGTGCTTTTGCTACCTTAAGTAGTGACTAAGGGGTCACTAATGCCCCTCGTGTGAGTAGTGAAACAAAATTATATATTTAGGAGGGTGTATTGTGATTGGAGTTTGATAGACTTTATTTAATTATCAACTTAAGGTGTATCAATATAGAGTTTTATGGAGTCAATAAAAGTCATTCTGTGAAGTCTAGTTTTAGTTATTTGGTTTTCTTTATCAAAAGTTGTAAATGCTATCACACATGCTATTAGTTTGTCTCTGGTTTTTACAGCTATAGTATGGATTCATCTTGTTGGATATTGTGTCCGAATGTTTTGGTCGAAGACAGTTCATCATCACAAAAAGTTTGTGCAACCGAAATACACTTTATGCAACCAATTTTTGTTCATCGCGCTAATAGTTAAATGTAGTAGTGTCCTACGACCACCTTACTGCCGCCACCACCTCCCATGACCACTCCTAGCACCTCCATGATGATCATCATGATCGCCAGCTTTACTTTCGTCTTATCTTGCCCATCACCACCACCCCAAACCCCACTCTTCCACCATCCCATCACCATATTAGAAACACACGATTTACAAGAATTTGGAATTAAAAAAAATTTAATGTTCATGAGTTAAGGATTCTTTCGCATGTCTAACAATTTCAGTTGTAACAGAAAAAGTAAAATTACATAAGTGTAGCCCTTGTCTACTCCTAATTGTTTGTTTGTAACAAACAAGTAAAAAAAACTATAATTATTACAAAGGTTGTTCAATTTCATGTGAACTTTACAAAAAAAATCTATCGTTACACTCGTAAAAATTTGTAGAAGTCTATCAATAAATAGTTTCATGAAGTTTTTAGTAGTCAATAAACGCCCATCTGTGCCACTTCTTAAACTTTTCAGGTATATAATTTGGTCTGTTAAAATCTGTCTAATGGTTGGTGACGATACAACTGGTACTGTGATTTGCTAAAGAACTTGTACATGCATCCACCTTGCAGGCTTTCAGTTATATATTCGTCCAACAAAATCTGGTCTTTTGAATTGGAACAGGATTTATCTTTTGAATTGGAATAGGATTTATCTGTTATTATTATTTTTTTTTTGAGGTCCGGATGAAGAAGGAGAAACTTCTTTTGCACCCACTTTTCAAACTTCAGACAATATTGTTCAATCGGTATTAGGAATTGCGAAATGCTTGTATTATGCACTCAATACAACCTGTTTACCAAAAGCCTTGACTGCATGAAAATTAATCTTAGTTAAAGAAAAACCAAATTCAATTTTCTGTTACAATGATACCCATTAGATTACTTGACAAGTAAAAGGTTTACAAATTGTTTACCGAGACGCTTGACTGCTGCATGCTCAACATTGCCATGTTGGCATAACAATAGTCATCAACTTCAGGATAGGTCAAAATTGGAGAGCAACTTAGAATAAACCTAGTCTATTGTTACGATGACGTTTCCATTCAATAACATAATGCTACGTTAATTTCATTGTTAACTTTAGATCGCTAAGTTATACGTACAATAGAAAGAATTAGAGTTTATGAGTTGAAGTTAGACTCAAAAAATAGACTCAAAAAATCACAAGAGGATCATAAAAGACATACCAACGGGTAGTAGTTTTATGAATCTGGATTTTCGTCGGATCCTTTTTGTGAGGATTCTGAAGATCTTTCAATCTTGTATGTTCATTGTACATCGTGCAGTCATTAATTATTTTAAATATTTTTATTTAAAATTAAACACATACAATACTTGACAAAAACTGATCGCACGATATACGATAAACGAATACAATTCATGAATTCCTCACCAAAATGATTGCTCAAATCCCTCCTAAGAAAATAAATAATAAAGAAAGAGAAAGTGGATGGTATAGTTTAACTTTCATGATACGAAAGTAGATGCTACTTTAATTAATTTACTTTTCTACGCTAATTATCCTCGTACCAATTGCAGCATACTTGGGGGCATATTCGATCAAGCCCAAAGCTTACTAGGACGAAACTGACATGCATGAAACAAGTTAATTGCTCAACATTTTGAATAACTTGTTCAAAATTATGCATAAAACTATTTCACATAACGGTTTATGTGGCGTGAAATATCACGGTGAGTCGGTGATTGTAAATTCTTCCAGTCTGTCAATTGGTAAAAACACTGATCAACTTTCAACCGGATAAGGTTAGCGGCATCATCATCATTAAAAAAATGCCACGTGTACTTTGCACTTCATTGTGCCCGCTCCGCTGCCCAACTGACCGCCGGTCAGATATTTACCTCAGAGCTTCGGAGTGTTGACCAGTACCTACACAACAATCACGACAAAAACACACTATTATTAAAATTACTAAAAAAATACAAAAATTGCAATATTAGAATATTCGAAAATATTCTAAAGGATAAGTCTCAACTCTCAACGGGCTTTGAAGCTCAAAACTTACTGTTATTGGTCAACAGCGGACGTGGACCCCAGCTGTCAAAACCCGAGATACATCGAATAGTTGCACCCAACAAGCGTAAGGAGTAAAACGACAAAATCTTCATGTTCGTGGCGTCCTGTTAGTCCACGTCGGACAGGTGGGACCCAATCCTGCGAACTATAAAATGGACCTCAGATTTCATTTGGGATCCAAACCACTCGTGACCACGTCCATTGGTTTTTGCACCACAACGAAGTGAGAGGAGGAAAAGAGAGGGAGATTCTACAAGTAGAATATGGCCGCAGCGATGGTTACAATACCTGTGATTCTCCGGAGTTCCGACGATATGTTTGAATTTCCCGGTACAGGTGTAAGTCTCGGGGACATGGTTCTGGATTTCATCGAGGAAGTCGAGGTCTCGCCGGAGTTTAATACTACCTCTGGCTCCGACGAAGACGACGAGAATTCTTGCAGTGTGGAAGAGAACAAGGCATTTTGGGAAGAACAGGACCAACTTCTGCGGGTAATTTCGCACACATCCCTGTTTAAATCACAAAGAAAATCAAGAAGAAATATTAGGGTCTAATTGCTATATTAAATCACAAAAAAAATCAATAAATAATTTATGTAATTATATATCAAAGTAATGCATTCACATGAGTAATCAATGTTAAATGAACATGACATAATGGATTAGAAAAACCTGAAAATAAGGTTAAGATAAGTGTTGGACATTACATCCTTAAGATAAGTTTGCGTTCCATTACGGTGCTCACGGTTGATCAGAGCTTGTCTCCCATGATACCACGATCACGTGCTTGTAATATAGCACTCCAAATCGTAAGACTCAATAATCCACGATTGTGTTGATATAGTCCTTAAGACAAGTCTAAGCACTTATATGATGTGTGAAAATCAGCTTCTATTTGTTAAATGATTTCGTTAATAAATTTTCAAATATTAACTTTTGTTTTAATTTCTGAATTGCAGGCGACATTGTGCAAGAGCAGTAGCGTTGAATCGAAAATTCGACAAGCCACTAAGGAAGCGTTAAGGGAAATCAATTCATCAAGCGAAGAATACTGCGTTTGTGCGAGACCGGTGGCCGGAGGTTGCCGGAAATGTTTGCGTACCGAAGTATGCAAACGGCTAATTGAATCCGGATACAATTGTGTCATTTGCAAGTCTAAGTGGAGAAGTTCAACAAATGCCCCTGCAGGTACCCTCAAACAATCCAGTATAGCAATTACCTTTCTTTTCTTCGCATCAGGGCACGGACCCAGGATTTTAATGTGGGTTGGGCTGAAACTATACATGCTAATTGATATTTTTCCTTAACTATTTACTAAATCAAATATGGTGTTTTTGTTTAATTAATAGGGGAGCATACTTATTTGGAAGTGCTGGACAACAGTTCAAAGAGAGGGGAGATTAGGGTTGCAATTGAGCTAAATTTCGGAGCTGAGTTCGAGATGGCAAGAGCTAGCGAAAACTACAACAGATTGATTAGCTGGTTGCCTGAAGTGTTTGTTGGGAAAGCCGAAAGACTACGAGCTTTGATCAAGATTTTGTGCGGCGCAGCCAAGAAATGTATGAAGGAGAAGAAGATGCACTTGGGACCTTGGAGGAAGCACAAGTACATGCAAGCCAAGTGGTTTGGGACGTTGGAGCGGTCAACGCCGGGGTCGTTGCCAGTCGGATTTTCGCACGGGCCGCCGAAGCCTAAGGCCTCGATTTTGGCCTTTGATTTGTTGGAGGTGGCGAGGACTGCTAGCTTGCATTGCTCTAGTACTGCTGTTGAAGTTTTGTGAATGATGATGCATGAGGAAACGAAAACAAGTTTTGCACGCGGTTTTGGTGTTATGCCTGTTCTAGGCAATTGTAACACTATGCATGTGCAAAAATGCGAGTGAGTTCATATATATACATATATGTATGCATGAGGTTAATTACTGAGGTTTTTTGCAAAGCGTGGTTCAGTTGAACCCCTTGTTTTACTCAGTTACCCTGCAGTTTAATGAAACTCTTATCTTCATGTCTTACATCCTTGTTATTCCTGGTTCGAGAAAACCACGTTCAATTAAGTACAAGAACACCCCAAGGACCGAGAGAACTTGATTGTATTCTTTCTAACAAAATAGGTACTATTAGCTTAGTTATCATTATATATCAAGCCCATCTAAATATCACAGACCGAGTAATGAGGAATAATATTTTCTCTGGTGAACATCAAAAGTGCACATTAATTTACAAAATAAACAAGAAACGTTTAGATTATTTTTAACTTAACGAAATTTAACTACTCTTGTTTAGATGTGTAACTTAAATGTGCACTTTTGATATGCATTTGAAAAATTTCACATAATAAACAGGCCACAAAAACAACATTAGTAGCAGCTTAAGATAAACGAAGGGAAGGCCAATTCAATATAAACAATCGCTCAATAATTAAAAAATAATAGTTGAAGACACCCTAATCCTTATCAAGGAAAAGTAGCCCATCGTCAGCTCGCCCGAAGCAAAAATTAGATCTTCAACTGCTGTGAACGACCGAGCTGTCTATATCCAATCACATCTGCAAGAAAGGAACCAAAATCAACACAACAATAGACAGTTGGGAAGTAGACTTAATATTTGTGTCGTGTTTTTCGTGTATGTATCGTTTTCGTAATATATCTGATATTTTAACGGATCATGTCGTGTAATACCTGTTAAAATAAATGAGTAACGTGACCCGACCTGAACTTGACCCGGTAATATTAATGTGCAATATGACCCCACATGTTACTTGCTAAAAAAATATATTTTAAATCAATAAATAAACAAATGAAAATCGTAGTAGAGTGAATATATATATATATATATATATATATATAATATTCAAATGCTCGTAATAACAAGTTCAACTACTTTTGTAAAGGGGTCAACTATGAATTCAGCATCATAATCCCATAAACCATAGATTTAAGTTTAGTTATTGATTGTTGTTTACGTTTAATTTATACTCTATTCTTCTCAACAAATTTCCTTTTTTTATTTTTTTATTTTTTTAACATGACCTTTTAGCGGATACGAAAGATGAACGGGTCGAATGGTTTGAACGGTTCGGATCTTTGATATCACATTCAGATTTTTACGTTAGTGAAAATATTGCTTGGAGTTTATAAAGTATCTAGAAACTGTATAACATTGACTCATATTTCAGTTAACCATAAATATCGGAACGTGATATCAACGATCCAAACTGTCCATTTTTTGCATCTGCTAAAAGATAATATTTTAAAAAATGAAATCTAAAAAATGAAATCTTGTAGAAAGAATACAGCATAAACGACAATTGACGATTAAATATAAGTACAAGGTTTATGGATTATGGTATCGAATTTCAGAGTTGACCCCTTCACGAAAGTTGTAAAGTCCAAGTTATAAAACTTGTCATTAGGAATGATTGTGTATATATATTTTTATAGTTTTTTTACACTTTTACAAAAATATTTATGAATTTGTACTAATTTTTGCACTCAAAAAAAAAAAAAAAAAAACTATTGAAAGGAATTGGATTGGAGATTCATGAGAGGAATTGGATTAGAGTTTGGTGATGGTGGCATGGGAAGAGGTTGAAGAAGGGAATGACGGTTTGGCGGTCTTGGCTTTTGGTGGATCGAAGAAAGAGAGAGGGGGATGAGTGAACAACCATATTAGGATGTCAACAACTATATTATACAATCAACTTTGAAGGGTTATCCACTGGTCAATTTTCAATACTAATTATCGCCCCAACTCAAGTAAACCAAAATTAAAAAAACCGAAAACCTAATAAAAAAATATTAATCCTTCTAATATATATTTCGACTAACCCTAGCACAAAGATAACAGAGATTTCTTAAAATAGGCAAAAAAATCAAAAGAAATTTATTAATATCAACCCTGAAATTTCAGTGACAAAATTGATGTTTCTCTTGGTAGTATCAACCCTGAAATTTTGAATCCCCTCACCTTAAATATAGAGGGCTTTGAAGGCTGCAAACAAAAGCCCCGAATCCGAAAAACATTAGGTAGGCAAATGACAGCGTTAGACGTAACATTGGCCGAAAACAAATGATAGCAGGACAAATGCCTCAAATATTTGGGTGGGCAAATGTCCTTCCGAGCAACAGGTTGCCCCAAAAGAAATTTCTTGCCGCCCTATGGGGAGGCGTTACTAAAGATGAGACAATCATCGGCGAACATGAGAATATTAGAAATTCTAAGCCCGAAAGGCGAAGAGAGAATACCCACTTGATTTTTACAGCAAGATGGTAGCTTATAAAGATGACGGATTAAAGGCTCCATACAAAAGATGAACAACTACGGAGATAGAGGATCTCCCCGACGGATACCACGAAAAGGACAGAAGACACTGAGTGAAAAAGAGGGTGGTTCCAAACTGCATGTTGTTTACATTTCTGAGGGTACATATACAAGGATTCGAATTTGGGTTTGATGGTGAATTTGGTTGAGTTAAACCAGGGATTCGATTTGGATTTGATGGTGAATTTGGTAGAGGTGAACCAGGGATTTGATTTTGTAATTGAACTTAGCATTTGCGTCTAGAATATGGTACTGGATTGCCTACGTATCTTTGATTGAATCAAACCGACCTAGTTCGTTGTTTCACAGTGATTTGGTTCTCAGTGAGTGAATGACCCACAAAAGAAAGATTTTATGTTTGGGGCTTTGCAGTTGCATCTAGGATGTGTTACTAGACTGCCAATGTGTCCTTGATGGAATCAAACCGACCTAGTTCGTTCAATTGGTTTTGATATTTTGTGTTGGCTTTGGTGTTGTATGCAGTTTCTGCTCGTGCATTCAATGAACATTTGATGACTTGTGCGGTTTAGGCTCTTGCAGGCAAGGACTTTGTGCCACTTGGACATTAACGAGACTTTGTGCCATTTGAGACTTGACGCGGCTTCGTGCCAATTGAATTTTGACACGACTTCGGGCCATTTGATCACTTTGGCGTGGTGTGAGTCCAATAATTTGAAATAGGAAGTCCATCAAGATATGTGCTTTGAGATGGTTCGCATCCACAATATTTGAAGTGATTTACATCCACGAATTTGGTGGCTTCAACGTTATATAATCCTTTATTTTGAATTGGTTGGACTCAATATGCCCCCATCACGCTTTGAGACGGTTCCTACTTGGCATATTTTTCACCTCAACAGATTTTTTTTAAAGAAAAAAAAAAAAGAAAACTTAAAATAAGAATAAACCTAGAATATAGACTTTAATCAACAGTGAAGGAACTTTAATCTAATGTTGGAAAGTAACACAGGTTAATCTAGAAAAGTATATGATTCTAATTTTCTCAATAAAAAAAATTCAAAATATATTAGCCAATTTGTAGGTAAAATAACGATATGTGTATGAAGCCAAAAGGCAATAATCTATATGCAATCTTGCACCAGGTCTTAATTAGGATTACATTTATACAAGGATGATAATCAAATTTTATGCACGTTGTTTGGGTGGGTGGTGGCGGGGGGTTAGAGGAGGCAGGAAGAGAGAGAGATGTTGGGTGGAAAAATCTGGGTGAGGTGACGGTGGGGTGGTAGGGCAACGAAGGGAGAGAGAGACCCTCCACAAAGTTAATATGGGATAACTATTTTGTCTACTCCAGTCATTTGGAGATGCCCCAAGCTTAGTGCCACCCTCCACAAAGTTAATTGAAACTACTTTGTTGTGTAGAGTTGTTCCATATTCTTTGCTTATTACTTGTAAAACTAGTTTCCAATGGTTTTGTCATACTCATTTCGTTTTATGTGCTCCAAGATGATGGTAGATTATAGATTTTCTAGTGTTTTAATCAAAATGGGATGCCTTTGAATTGTGTCGTTTTTTTTTTATAGAAACTTTTGTTCATTTTTCCTCTCTTTGGTTCCACATTATTGTTTGGACACTTAAGGAAAAGGTGTCATCATGACTATGATCACGAATCCTCTTTTTATTTGAACAAGAATCCTTTTGATTGAAAGAAAATATATGTTCAAAGAATTTTGCATCTGCTGATTCTAATATATAATGTTAACATGTATATCAAGAATTGAAAATTCCCCTACAATGAAACTATAAGCAGCACTATTGTTTACATACCCAATGAATGCACAATGAATAGTTTTAGGTCTTAGTTTTGTTCTTCTTGGTAGCTGAACTTGCACTTTTACTAGGCAACCCCACACTATAAGGATTTTATATGTGGGTTTATGTCCTCTCCTTATTTTATAAGGTGACTTGTTGGTTTTCTTATGTACGATCTTATTCAATATATATGACATTTGCAGTAAGGAAAGCTTCACCCCACAAACTGCAGTGGAACCCTTGAACTATGTAACATGGAATTAATCATATCCTTGAACGTTCTATTTTACTCTCCATAGTCCATTATTTCAGTCACTTCGTAAGGGAGTTGATAAACTTTTGATGTAGAGCAAAGTGGGACAATGAAATAGAATGTAATTTCTATTAAAAAAAAGAAAAAACAAATCTTCCAACAGTAGTCACCCTAATCAGGTAGAAGAATATCCTTAAGCTTACGACATGGGTGACAAGAGTTGAACAAAAAAGGGTCTCAATTCCACCACGACCTTAAATCGCAAGATTGCACGTAAAAGCAACAAACTGGATAAGCATGTGTCTCAATCGTGGCATCTAAGGCCATCTCCAACTGAAGGGTCTAGAGGGCCAGAGGGCTGAAAAAGGCTCGAAAACTGTCTCCAACCGAGGGCTAGGCCAAAGGGCTCATGGGTCCCACAGGACAAAAAAAGGCCAAAGGGTCAACTGGCTGGCTCAACCTAGCCGGGCCATTAATTTGAATGCAACAGCTAACTGATATCAGCTAGCCGTTATATTCGAATTTTTTTTTTTTTAACAAAATTTTTTACCTATAACTTCCTAAGCCATTAGACAACATTAAGTTGTAGTTTTTAAATTTAAGTTGTTGTAGTTTTTAAATTTAAATAATAAATTATGTTTGGCCCTCGGTTGGAGATGGTTTTTT